GGGGGGGGGGGGGGGGGGGGGGGGTGAATAGGGGTATACAAATCCGCTGACCCGCCCAAATTTGAAGCAAAATCCGCGATCCGTCAATGGTCTTGTCCAAATTTGAATCCGCTAAAAGCTCTACTATGAAGTCACAATCCAGGATCCGAACCAAATTGTAAGCAAAATCCACAACCCGAGCCAAAATTTTAGATAAATCCGCAATCCGCTGTATGATAAGATCCGCAAATCCGTGTAAAATATTCGCCAGATCCGAAATCCGAACAATTTTTTCTGTGAAATCCGACGATCCGAAAACCTAAATCCCCCCCCCCCCCCCTCCCCCCTATATCCGAACAATCTTTATCATAAATTATTCCTGAATTTCTGGACCGCGCAAACTCACTAATTTCCTATTCCATGTTTGAAATTACTATTAAAGCTGGAGAATTTACTGAATCAATAAAACATTTTAAAATTAATTTCAGTAATGACTAATATAAGATTTTTGGTTAATTAAAACCAAAATCTTATTAGTCATTACTGAAATTGTTGCGAGGACGAGACAAGCGAACTGGGCACTAGTATGCAAAATTGGCGGGAAATGTTCGCGGGAATAAATAAATAAAGAATCAGGGAATATAAAAATCAATATGGAGGATGAAAACAAAGATCTAAAAGATGAAGTTGAAGTCCAGTCACAACAAGAGGGCAAAGAAGAACGAATTAATATTTTTAGATCTACGAAATTTCCACAAACTAGAGTTCGTAATATGATGAAAATGGACCCTGATCTGCATCTCGCCAGTCAAGAGTCAGTTTTTCTTGTATGCAAAGCAGTGGTATGATTTTATAAATTATAATAACATATTAAACTACGAGTCTATAATAATTTAAATCTTTTGTAATAAAATTTCAAGTATGTACAACTAAATACACCGTTGACGTATTTGCCACAGCGTTATTACAGTGAGGGTGGCACATAATGCCACATGACATATAAACAGTTGAATATATATATATATATATATATATATATATATATATATATATATATATATATATATATATATATATATATATATATATATATATATATATATCTTATAAATATAAATATATATATATACATATATATGTATATATATATATATATATATATATATTAAGCTACGTTTACACGCTGCGATTTGTCGGGCCGATTTTGGTAAATAATCGATGCCCCTTCTTCGACATTTAGCGATTTAAACGTTCAATTGAAGCTGTCCGCTCTCTCGTCTGTTTATATTATAGTTTACTGCGTGCGAAAAGTTTTCAACAATTTTACAACGGAAGAAAAATCGTTGAATCGTGAGAAAAATCTGTGTTTTGTTACAGATTTTTCTCCCGATTTTGTGAATCGCAAGGTGCTGACGCGAGTACTCACGACAGGTTATTTACATACAGCGAGCAAAATCGGCCCGACAAATCGCAGCGTGTAAACGTAGCTTTATAATACCATTAAGGCCATATAAAATAAATTCCTTGATTCTCATCACCGCCCGACGATATTTTGGTTTCCGCGTTGATATATTTTTGTATTTTGTTATAAAATATAAATTTACCGCCCGACCGAACATCTTCAGACATTCAGTTATTTTTATATTTTATATTGGAATTTTTGCGATATAAAATTGTTTTACCGTTAATATTGCAACATGTTAAGGGATGCTTGGAATACTGAAGGGAAAAATGGGCTTATAGCCTTATTACAACGATTTGTGTGGACCCTTATGCATGTTCATTAGCGCATGTGCAATTATCCACTTATATAGCGTTCTTCTATAATATATTTAAG